TAAATTTTCCATACCGTGTGAGGGGGACACCCCCTCCCACACCAACCCCCTCTCGGGCGCTTACGCGCCCCCTCACTTTCAAAATCGCTCCAAAGCCTATGATATATATATATATATATATATATATATATATATATATATACATATATACATATATATGTATGTATAAATACACACACACATACGCACGCACACACACACATATATATATAATTATATATATGTATATATAACACAGAAATACACATACACATACATGTATACATGCATATATATATATATATATATATATATATATATATATATATATATATATATATATATATATATGTGTGTGTGTGTGTGTGTGTGTGTGTGTGTGTGTGTGTGTGTGTGTGAATATATATAAATAAATATATGTATATATATGAATATATATATACATATATATATATATATAAATATATATATGTATATATTTTATATTTATATATATATATATATATATATATATATATATATATATATATATATATATATATATATATATATGTATATATTTATATACATCTATGTATATATGTATGTATTTATATATATGCATATGTATACATATATATATACATGTTAAATTGCACCCTGGATTGCCCTTTGGGAAGGCATAGTACCCATTTTCCACCCTTGGTTGGGGTAAAACTAAAACTGTTGCAACAGGGCAGTGGATGCATGTTGGAGGCTCATTCAGTTCAACTGAAAATGATGGCTTCAACAAGCACATACGTCTGGCAAGTACTCAGTCCTACTCAAGAAATGGAAGAGGTGCACCTTCCGGTAGAGGACACCTACGGCAGAGAAAGTGTACTGGGAACCCTACTCTGATATTCTTTCCGATTACCCTCCATGATGTCAGTACAAAAAGAAAAAAACTCATGTCACATCACTCGTCGCGTGGACTACCATAGAATAGAGATGCTTGGAGGACCACGGCAATTCAGCAATGAATTAACCGTTCTATGATGATATATATGTATATATACACATTTAGAAAAAAAAAAATGTATTCTTTTCTTCGTGCCATCACCGATGCAGTATTTGACGAACTATGTATATATGTGTGTGTGTAAACTCAATGAGAAAGAGATCTATGTCAAACTCACATCTGTAGCAGGCAAATGTCCCCAGCGAAACATTCGCACTGTATTGGGGGACTTGTGGTACCTGGCTTTGATTGAGCTGGCTATGAGATGTCTGTCGGTCCCCGTGGCACAGAACCTGATCTCAGTAGCGAAAACAGCCTTCTTCTCCAAGATTTTGCTAGGTCTTAGAGAATGAAGATTTCTGGCTCCAGGTTTCAGTGCTCCAACCCGAATTGCTGGACATGGTATAGTGATACTGGTACTGTAGCCATGGAAATCAGCCACATTCTTATTAGCACTTGCTGGATTATCCTCCAGAACTGCAGGCTTTACTGGAGGGCTGGGTTCCGTGGCACTGACCATATAGATGGCTGTGGCTATGCTTCAGGTCCACAGGGTGTTTCACTTAGACAGATTGATGGAGGAGTGTTCCCAGAGGTTCACACACCATTCTCGGTTCACAGAGCTCGAAAACCTGACTGACTCAGGAGCTCTGTAGGATTTCTTCAAGTGTGAAACACTCGATGCGGCGCCGCAGTCCACTGACGAACGCCCGAGGACAAGGCAGAATATCAAAGCACACATGGTTCATAGTAAAAGTAATGAAAAATAATAAAACACGAACAGCACAGATGCACCTAGGCATGCAAAAGGGGCAGTACAATCTTGTTTCCAGCATCCACGGTGTAAGTCCAGGAAGGTAAATCCAAAGGGTAGTTACAACACAGTCAGAGTATCCACTTGGTAAAAGCTTGAGGGTTACATTGACTCACGTTGCCGAAGGTGTGGCACATAAATAGAGAAAAACAATAAATAAGAAATGTTATAATAAAATAATATACTAATAACCAACAACAAAAACAATAAAACTAAAAAGAATCATTAAAAATTATAATTATGATAAAAAATACATAAATCAATCTGTTGCAATTCATTAATAATAATCTTAAAATAAGGTCATTTCTCTCGCTGTAAAAGAGAGAAGGAAAGGATGAATATGTAAAAAGAAACCACAAAAAATAAAATTGAACTTAAAATACAAGAGATCAAAAAAGTAAAAGAAAGATTCACTCGTAGCAGATGTGGATGGTCCGTTATCCGCACATCATGGGAAGCATCGATAATGAAAGGATTTTAATGAAGGCTTTATTAAAAAATGTACAAAAAGGTGTATAAAACGTAAAATACATCTAAAAAGAGCAGGCAAAATACAAAAATAAAAAGAAACGTAAAAATGAGGCTGGCAGGATAGGATTAAAGGTAGAAGGTAAGACAAACGGGAGAAAGGAATGAAAAAGGGGGAAATTAGCGTAGAAGTAGAAGGAAGTGAAAAAATGAAGGAACAAGAAGAGGGTGCGAATAAGAGGGGTACGAGGGGAAATGCGGCAGGATACAAGGCAGGATAGGGATAGGATGCAGGCAGGATAGCATAGGGATAGAGATAAAAGGTAAAACAAGCAAGGAAAACGAGTAGAAGAGCGAGAAACTGCCATAGAAGTTAAGAGAAGGGAAAAAGCGAGGGACAGGAAAAGGTGCGAATAAGGGAACGAGAGGGATAGAAGGATCGGGGTAAGAATGGGGGATGAATAGGTCATGGGTATGGTGGGGGGGAAGGAGATTGAAAAGCTCACAAGTCACTTGCATTAGCTAGTAAATCCTGTAACACAAAGTAAGTACTATTACTGGTAAATACAAGCAGTAGTAGCACTATCATAGGCCAGCACAGGGCACTTACCCTGTGTCCTCTTTCCCCTCTACTCTACTAAGGACCTCACCAACTGCCTCACTCTGGGTGAGTGATGGGGAGATGGGTGAGGCTGAAAACTAGTCAATATATACATATATTTTTTCAGCTGAGCTACAGACTTTCTGAAGACCACAGCCTCTTTCACGATTACCTTCACACCCGGTTTCACATAACTTGCCAGTGACCATTACCTAGATGATGGAGGACATTCAACTGCGGAATCCTCCTCGCCAGAGCCCTTAGGCCTTGCCCGTCCGTCTCGACCCACGCCATCCTGACACCGCTGGGGAGAAAGGGCATCTCTGCCTCCGTCAGGCGGCCCTCGAAACCTGTGAAAATATTTCTCAACAACAGCATTATATATGTCATTAATATTTCATCTCATTATATATATATTATATTCATATTTTTCATCAACATCACCAACATCATGGTTTCATCATGATCTCATTATCACGTCCTGCCTATCACTCATGCACCGCAGGTCTTACAGAGAAACCGCAGCTTTTTCAGACGCGGGAGCCTCCTCGCCAGCGCCTTCAGTCCCTCCCCGTCGGTCGTGACACTCAGATCCTCAAGCATAGTGGGAAGGAGGGGCATCTCAGCTGCTGTCAGGCGCCCACCGAAATCTGTCATTTACACTGCATCTTGTTATCACTATAATTATTATCTGTATACCGACGTTGTTGATATTACAATCATCTTTATTACTGTTTTGGTTATTATTACCATCATTACTTATCTTTTGCTGCCATTATCTATAAAATTTACCACTGCCGTATTATCATCGCCATTCTCAAAAACCGTACCTAGAGTTTGAAGATTCGGCAGGTAAGGGAGCCTTGCCTGCAGAGCGCGCACCCCTTCTGCGTCAGACCTGGTTATGAGCTCCTCCAGGCTCTCCGGCAGAAGCTGCATTCCCTTTTCTGACAAGAAACCTTCGAACTTCGTCAGTCGGGAACGACTTCCTGGACCTGTGGCCGCCTCAAGGCACAACTCAGAAAACTCTGCAGACTGCTTCAATAAACACTTCAGCTCTATCTCGACGTCCTTTCTGGCCAAATCTCTCATCGCAGACAGGACCTTACTTGACGGGAGTTTCTGCGTGTCACGGAGTGTATGAACGCGCACACAGCGAGTCTTGAGGTGGTCCAGTATGGGTAACAAACCGTGCAGAGAGGTTTCCTTAACGTCAAGGCTTTCAACTTCGCTCAATACCCTAGCACTTGCCTTCACTATACTTGCATGCTGTCCTGATGCCATGACCATTTGGTAATATCTCTGGCAATTATTTGCAGTCTCTATATAATTATTGTCACCGTATAAGACGAGGCTGATGATGGCTGTGGCGACTTTATCCAGAAGGTTTTGCTGTGACAAGGATAATGTGCGTGTCAGGTCAGCGAGGACTTCCATTAATACATCTGACTTGTTTTTAGATGTCGACGAATATGCCAGCTGGCTTGCCTCATTGGCATCTTCTGAATAGATTTCAAGAATGGGATTTTCAGAAAAGTCTAATTCTATGTTATTCATACGATTGAAATGTGTTGAGTAATTCTTATCACTAAAATTAGGTAGACAGGGTGAATCCAGTAAACCTGTCAAGTCTGGCAGAGAATGAGACATCCTTAATAGCTGTGTAACTACATAACCAGCGGCCCAGTGTTCTTGGAATCGGTTGTGTGGAAAGGACCAAATGGAAAAGATAAAAAGACCTTCTCGCGATTTCTTAGACACAAGAAAGCCTGAAAACATTTCCTTGTAGGGTAAGTTCATTGCAGAGCACTTTTCCTTTAAATCCTCTACTGTTTCGCTCAGTAAGTCGTGTTCTCGTCTCTTCAGACCTCTGAGAGCCACTTTCTTTTGAAATTCATGATACTCTTTAACTTTATCGTCAGCATCATCGATGCCTTTCACTATCAATCTCTCTTCAACCTTGCCTATCATGAGCCTTGTCAAATCTTCGAACAAGTCCTGTGAACTCTGGTCTGGTGCCACGACCTCTCGGATGATCAGTAGGATCAGAGTGAGTGGGACATCAAGTCCATCCTTCTCAAAGTCCATGTTTTCAAGAATTGTCACTATTTTGTCTTTCAAGTTGGTTATAAGGATAGGACACTGTACAAACGCACACAGACTGTTTTCAATAAAGTACGGTCGGTCTTCTCTGCGTATTCCTTTGATTTCAACATTCATTACATTCGTCTTGCTCCTCATGATTTGAGTTAGCTCTTTTGCACAGCCTGGTCTCGTGGTTATCACAATGCGCACGTTGCCACGAATGTTCAGAAGATCGGTTATCAATTTCTTAGCCTTCTTGCTCACTTCGTCATAACCGTCTAACAGGATAACAACTTGCATTGTCTGGAATAAACCTGCAAAGATATCAGTGGTAAGTCCAGATCCCTGAAATGTGTTATGAAGGAGATGCTTCAGCAGGTCACTCCAACTGCTGATTGTGCATCCTCGCAGCTGTAGGTAAAGCAGCGGAGAAACGTCTTGAAGTCCCTCAATTTGCAAAGGATCTCTCACCCACATCTCCAGCATGTGCTTCAGCAGCGTGGTCTTCCCTATTCCTCCTTCGCCTGATATTATGATCACTTCAGGCAGGCGACCATTTCGCTGCTTAACCTGCAGCAGATTCTCGTGGGAAATGTTGCAAGGCTGATATTTCTGCTCCTGAGATGGTGACAGAGTGGACGTGTCTTCCACGATTACAAGGTTGGTGAAATTTAGACTAGGTTGGATTTTCAGATCAGGATACAGCCACTGAGCGAGAGTCACGTCCCACAGCTGAGGGTAGAAATCAAACAACTCTCGTCGACTCTCCTGCTCCACGTTCTGCCGAAGTATATCCTGAAATGTTCTAATTTCTTGCTGTAGTTGCGGCAGTTCGTTCAGGTCAGTAGCTTGGAGGGGCTCTCTGACTTTCCGCAGGAGGTCCCGAAAATCCTGTTTGATTTCCCAGATCTCGTCCCGAAAGACGTGGGGTCGGATCCCGCGTCGGTTCCCGGCCAGTCGAAGGATCCTGGATTCAATTCCTTCGTCAGCCTTTGGTCCGACATCTGCTGCACATCATTCGTGTGTGCTATGTTGTTCCTCTTCTGCTTAACCTTATACAGGAGGTGCTCTAGAGGCTGACCTGCCGGGGGGGAGGTCCAGGCAGGGTCATTGGAACCAGCCAGTCCACACATGAGTTGGAGAATGATATAGAGCAGGGAGATGTCGTACTGCCTAAACGGGGCACCGTTCTCTAGCAGATTTCTCTGTTCGCTGTTAAACTTCCGCTTGTAGTCTGTTCTCGCATTTCCCAAACTAAGGAAATAACTCTTGACACACGGCCCCCCTTGGTACAGCCACTCAACCACCTGCACAAATACCTCGCGGCCCCTGGTGATCATAGCCACCTGGTACCGGAAGCCATTCACTGTGTGCCTTGTGAGCTGGGTAGGGGCGCGGGGGGGTCGCTGCAGGGTTGCCATCCTCCCTGAATCTCCAGGACCCTTTCGGCCTCCGCTTGCCCTGCCTTGTGTCCTGCGTGGGCGAGAAGACAGCTGATTCTGCGCCGGAGATGATGAATGACTTTATCAGCGCATCAACGATTTCCTTGACTGCTCTTCCTTGAGTATTTCATTATCTGAAAAAGAACAAGAACAACGGATTAAATATGAAATAAATAAGGAGGGGATGACTGATATGTAAATATTTTTTTATGGCTTTCATATAGCAGCCAAAGGTCGCATACCTTTCAGTCAGTGGACTCAAACGTTAAATGTTTATATATATATATATATATATATATATATATATATATATATATATATATAATTACATACAGACACACATATATACCGGAGAAAAGCCGCTGTTTAAGTGGGAATCCTAAATCAAACTGCTGTGTAATTTCCCACATCCTCCACCTCCCTCTAAACCCCGTCCACCCTCCCCTCCCCTGCCTACAACCAGTCCTCCTACCAACCCTTCCCTTTCGCATCCCCTCCCCCTGCGATAACATCTTACACCTCCACCCTGCAAAATCATGAACACTCACACAACCTACAACCTCTGCACCTGTGCCCACCACTCCTTCGAGCACCCTACCCCCACCTCCTCTCCCCTCCCTCTCCACCTGCCCCTAGCCAGCCGACCCACGACCTTGTCGCCGAGCCAGCTCCCCCTCGCCCGGCACCACGCAAGCGCTTTCCCAACAATGCTGAGGCATCGGTTCCTGAGATGAGACGAGAGGCATCGACGCAAGTAACACCGAGGAGAAGCTATATAGAGAACAGCAAGTGGAAGAACAAAGAAAAAAATCTTCCACCCAAACGCCAGTGGAACGACGCAACACACCACCAAGTGCTCGGAGTCCCTTCCCTCTCTACTACCCCCTCACCACCACAAGGGCCAACGGTCGTTGTCAGCATCGCAGAACGACCGGAATCGCAACAGACAAACGAGCAGGACATGGAAGGTTTCGTCACCGTCACCTCCAGAAAAGGGAGAAGAAAAACACGCGAGGGCAATTATCGTCCTATCACTCTACTCCCAGTGATATCTAAAGTGCTAGAAAAAAATGTTGCAAATCAACTATCAACATTCTTAGAATCCAATCACCTTATTTCCGGAACGCAACAT